AACATAGGATGAAAAAGTAAACGTAAAGTAAACGTACTCTCTTGTAACACCTCCTCTAACAGTTAATACTCATAAGGTACTATTGTGTTGGAAGTGCGGTAAAACTTGTACTAAAACTAATCTAGGAGACTCCGATACCAAGCGCATGCGGAAAGCTAGGCAGAGATGTCATATCTTGCTACGATGTCGTTTGTATGTTTTCGGAACTTAAAAAAAAACAACAACTAAGAGACAGAGAGGGAGGGGGTGGCAGAGAAAGAAAGAAAGAGAGAGAGAGAGAGAGAGAGAGAGAGAGAGAGAGAGAGAGAGAGAGAAAGAGAGAGAAAGAGAGAGAGAGAGAGAGTGTGTGTCTCTCTTACCCTTGGTGTGTGTGTGTGTGTGTGTGTGTGTGCGTGTGTGTGTGTGTGTGTGTGTTTGTGTCAGTGTCAGCACATGTCTATTAGCATGTATAAGGATTTGTTGGTGTATGTTCGTGTATACATTCAGTGTGTGTGTGTTGGATGTGTGTGGGTGTGTGTTGTGGGTGTGTATGTGTTTGTGTGTGTGTGTGTGTGTGTGTGTGTGTATGTGAATATATTGGTGTGTGTAATACTGTGTGTTTAAGTGTGTGTGCACTCGCACCTGTGTGCATGGGTTGCAGTGCGTTCATGTGACTGTGCGTGCGTGTGTGCGTCAGGCAACAAAATTTCAGTCTCTGAATGTTCATGCTCTCCCCCCCCCCCCCCCAGGTAACAAACTGATCAGAGATGCGGTCTACAAGAAACTGACCAACATCGCCTCGTCTGAGCTGGCTATTGTGGTGGACGCGGATGACAACGGGGCGCGATACACCTGTAAGGCCAGCAACCGCGCCACGCCCACGCCACTGCAAGTCAGCATCACCCTCACCGTGCACTGTGAGTTACACATTTCGTGACCTCGGTGCTTTCTTGTCTTCTCTCCATTTTTACTAACAGTGAAAACAGTACATAACAAAGAGTGAGCTTAAGATGAAGTCACATTTTCAATTTGAAAAAAAAAAAGAAATGGAAATAAGACAAGAAATCACTGTCAGTTACACAGGTGTTGTCGTCATCTTTATGGCTTAGATTTTTTAATAATGATACAGGCGATTTCTATAGCACCCACTTTTATACAGTACAGCTCCATGGCCATTCTAATGGATTTTTGTTTTGGCTCAACGCCTTTTGTGATCATTTAAGATCATGTTTAATAATAATGCTAAGGCTGAAGATTTCTATAGCGCCCACTCTCATACAATACAGCTCTAGGCAATTGTTATTGATTTGGGGGGGCGGGCTCCCTGCCTTTTATATCCGTTTAAAAACAGAATTTTGTGTGGATTTTACTGAAAAACATTGATTAAAGGCTAAAAAAAATGTAAATTTGCTGTTTCCAAGGATGAACTTTGGAAATCACCAAACTTTGGCAGCCATTTTATCACTGACACCAAGCGTTTCCCTCCTTTTTCAATCCTAATTATCTAGAATTCTATCCAAGACTTTCTTTTCATCAAGAGCAAGACAAATGAACACGCTGAAGCAAATAACCCAAGATACCCAAAAATTGACAAGCACCTGATTCCACCTTATCAAGAGACATTGTGTGACATGCTGACAAAATGAGTTCATGCCTTTTATTATTTCATATTTATAAATTGTGAAAACTTCACCTCTAAGCGTGATGTATCTATTTCCTTAAGGCCTGAATCCGGGAAGTAACTCATCTTGTCAACATGCCTTGCATATATATCAAAGCACATCTTCATTTAAGAGAGAAAAAGAAACCTAAGAAACATTATTTTCCCAATGTTTGACCCTTGTATTTCTCAATGTTTGACCCTTGTATTTCCCAATGTTTGACCCTTGTATTTCTCAATGTTTGACCCTTGTATTTCCCAATGTTTGACCCTTGTATTTCCCAATGTTTGACCCTTGTATTTCCCAATGTTTGACCCTTGTATTTCCCAATGTTTGACCCTTGTTTTTTCCCCCCAGTCCCTCCGGCCCACGTGGTCATCTCCCTGAGCCCGTCCCAGCCCAGCGCGGGCCAGCAGGTGGACCTGACCTGTGTGAGCTCCTCCAGCAACCCGGCCGCCGAGATCACCTGGCTGCGTAACGGCCGGCGCATGACTGGCGTCAGTCTGGGCACAGTGGAGGCGGAGCACGGCGGCAAGAACACCACCAACCGCCTGCGTTTCTACCCCACCTCGCGCGACCACAACGCCGTGTTTGGCTGCCGCGCCACCAATCGCCTGCTGGACCAGTCGGTCACCGACGCCATAACGCTCAACGTCTTGTGTGAGTTGGCGCTGGCCACAACTTTCTCTTTTTGATGCTTTTTATAGTTTCTGATTTGCTTTTCAGAACATAGTTTTTACTCCTCGTCTTTCTCTTTCACTTTTTCTCTCACTTTCTCTGTCTGTTTATTTTGTGCTTTCTGCTTTTAATAAATGATAATAATTGACATAAATAAATAGCATTTGGCATTTGTACACAACATATCCCCGTTCAACAGCAAGCTCTATAGCTATGCGCTTTACTATCTTTATAAAGTTTTCTTTTTGTAACTTTTGGATTTTGTTGCGGCTTTGTTAGTCTGCATATGGTTCTCAAGGGCACAGCAACTTTCTTGATGCCATGGGTAACCATCAGGCCAGCTCAGATTGATACTATAGATAGTTTCATGTGATGCGAGACAGAGTTTTCTCAATATTTATTGTTGTGCTTTTTTTATAAACTGTTTACTAGCTAGAATCATGAAATTATATGAATAGAAAGATAAAGAAATTGAATAGATGAAAGCATCTTATACATTCTGAAATATTCAGATGATTAGATAACTAAGTGAATAAAATTGATTGACGTTTTCTGTAAACAAAATACGATGTGCTGAGCGATGAGATTTTTAAGACTGCGAGAGACTCGCGAAATGAAATAACTCTAAGTTGGCGAAACTGTATGTTTGTATGTTTTTGTTTTTCAGTCAAGCCGGAGTTCAACGACGCCACACTGCCGAGCAAGATTGACGTGAAGAAAGGGGAGAGGACTAGCATCAACCTGACGGCGTACGCCAACCCTCCCAACGTGACCTACACACTGTTCAAGGGTGGCTCCTCCTTCAGCACGCCCTCACGCTTCCGGCTGGGTAACGGCTACCTCAACATCTCCAGCATCTCCAAAAATGACAAGGGAAACTACACCATCAAGGGAGAGAACAACCAGGGATTTTCAACCTTCAATTTTTCCATCAATGTCAAATGTGAGTGTAGGGGGCAGGCACAGATACCCTGCTG